CAGGAGAGAGAGAGGTATACATGAGGACAGCCCTCTTCCCTAGGCCCACAGTTAGAATTTAAACTTGCTTTTGCTGAATGAAGTTCTCATTTGTTTCTAACCTAGTTCCTTTTGAATTTGCTACTTGTTCCCTGCAGGCTGAGGGCAAGGTAGACCCCAAGTTCCCACCATTAGAGACTGCTCTTCCTCAAACACTCTTTTCTCAAGAGCTAGAAAGGCTCAGGAGACTAGCAAACACTGGCTTCCTGTGACAAGGGGGAAGCCAGAAATAGAAATCAGAGAAGCAAGACGAGATTGTAGGGAAGGAGAGGGAGAAGCCAGTGTTAGGAGGTGAAGAACAAAAAATAATGGGACTACTCATGAAAGGCCTGCATGTAACAGGAGACTTAAGCTCAAGAGCAGAGCTGGCCTTGAAGAAAGCAAAATCCAAGGGGGCCTGTGAGGCCTCGATTCACTGTAAAGCTAGGCCCTAATAGAAAAAAAATCTACCAGCCCTGAAAACTGTTATTCAACTGCTAACTGAAAAGCCAGTATGCCTTTTATAACCCCAGTTCCCTAAGCTAATCCTCAAACAGTAATTCAATACAGTTTGTTTAAAAAAAAAAACAACCTACGGGTGACCTCCTAATCCAGGCTGATAATTGGCTCATGATCTGAAACCTGCTTGTTCAGCACTGGAATCACTGGTAGAAGCCGTGCGGCTCTGGCAGTGGCATCCATTTTTTCAGCTCTCCCACGTCTTAGAAATATTATCTGGTCAGTGACTGAAGGGGGCCAAGCGTTTCTGGGGATGAACAGAGGGTCCTACTTTGCTCTTTCTGAAATCTCTTCATTTCTCATCAATATGACGGAAGGAAACCACATTCTGGTTAAATGCCTTCTAAGCCAAATGCAGGGTTTGCCTCTTCTCCTCCTTTGCTCTCACTAAAATCTACGAAAAGCCCAAGCAACATCTTTGATTGGTGGGGATTCTATATCTCTGCTGAGAAGCCGTAGAATTGCCTCTGTTTCAAATCAACACCTCACAGCAGCCAATCCCAGCTCAAATAAGGAGTAAGTCATTACTTGCAGTGCCGATGGAGTCAAATCCAGAAACGCAGCCTCCCTCCTTGCCAAGAAGTTACACTGAATTTTTTAAGACCCTCGTGACCTAATTTAAGACGTTTTCTTTTTCTCAGGCTTTTCTCGTACATGATAGTATGATAAACTGTTAATTCAGCCATTTTCCCTTCTCTGCCACTCTTGGGCCCGTGATCAAAGAGTGTTATTAACCACCCCAAAGACACATTAAATAATCAAGCTGCCCAGCAGCTGCACGCTAGAGCACAAATCCCCAATACCAGCATGGCTGAAAAATTTTGCCTGAGCCCGCAGCTATTTTTTTAGAGACCCATCAGGATGAAAGTACATATTATTGGGAGGATGTTAAGACGGAAAGTGTAAAAAGAAGGGGCATAATCTCAGGACTAAACCGTAGAAGCAAGAAAAGTCCCAGAGTTGTGGCAGCCATGTTTCAAACTTCATTATTAAAAAAGCGATCCCATTATCTCCTACTTACCTATCCACTCCCAACCAGTCATAAAAGGGCACACGCGGCATTTTTCAGCTGCCATGGATTTCTTGGTTCTTTCTCTTCTCATTAATACCAAACTGCATTCTATATCAGGCAAAGAATCTGCCTTTGGAACTGAAATAGCAGTTGCTGGGCCCGTGTAAATGCCTTAGAATATCTGGGACTATCCGAAATGTGGACTACAGCTCTATTATGAAGACTGAATGGTTTGCCCATTTGAAGTTGGTAGAGCCTGCTCATCTCTGTTGTATTTTTTCAAATACATAATCTGTGTCATCAACTAAAAATTCAATGGAAAACACATCTTTGGTCACTAGGTAAAACATCTTCCAAAACACCCCCCTTTATTTAATATTTGCAAAGGAATCAGAGAGGCTGGAACTCTACAGCATAAAGGTGAATGGCCTTTTCAAAGTAGTGCAGGATAGCTAGGGACATGGAGCCTGACTCAAATGCTGTAATAAGGATGATGGAATGATTACCTGCCTTTTAAGGTCAACCTATCCTTTTAATTTAATGTCAAATCACAGGAAAAAGGACAGTTGGTCTGATTTGCATGCACATAATATGGATGGATCCTTAAAAGGAAATTTCGTATGCTATCTGGTGTGCATAAATCATTTGGGTTTAAATCCTATATATTTCTTAAGGTATATAAACAACATTACACATTAGCATATATACAATAGCACCAGGGGATTAGGTTCCTATCAATAGAGAAATGCTGAATTTTGAGGAGAAACATTAGGAGAGAAATCTGTGTGGCTGTTAACACTGCACACAATGTCATCACAGAAGTTTCAAACTGCCCTTCAAGTGAGGACGGCTGTCATTAAAAGGATGCCAGTTAGTTCAAGAGGAAGAAGAGACAAAGTTGTAAGGCAAGACTGGTTTTCCCTTCACTTTTTCACAGTGTAGAGGTAAATGAAAATATTGAAGGGAGGGCAATGAGCTGTATCCTTTCAGACCTGGAAGAGCACACAAAACAAAAAAATAAAAAATTTCAGCCTGAAAGCACACCCTGGAATTGCAAGTTAGTGGTGCAGAACTTTCCAGATGTATTGCCATGAAACTTGTTTAAATACTATGAAGGTTTACGATAGAGGATGTGTGAAGTGGCAAAATTTGGAGAAATAACTGCTTCATCTCCACGTGCCTCAATTTTCTTGTCTGTAAAATGGAGCTACTACCCTGGCCTTGTTGAGGGGATTAATGAATACTACGTACAAAGTACTTAGGACAGTGTCAGCCATGTAGGAAACCCTGAAATGTTTAACAGCTTACTGTTATTAGCTACAAAATAAGATAAGGCTAGATCAGCTTTTCTCTAAGCTTGGTGAGAAACACTTCCACTGTCTTGTTACCATTCCCACAGCTTGACTCTCCGCTCATTTTCCTCTCTTGTGCTTGTGACCCACACAAATGCCAGGCTGGGAAAGCTAATCAGACCACGCACAGCCAGCTAACCGTCTGCACTATCTCTTTAGTTCTAAACTGCCATGATTCCTTTACTTCTAATGGGCCCTTAAGTGTTCTCAAAACAGCCAACAATTAACACTGCTGTTTTCCCCTGTAGCCTCGGAGGCAAGCATTATCCTTTTCTGAAATGCTTTGCTTCTCAGTGTCAAACAAAGGCATAAATAAGCAATATAGTTAGGTACTAATAAACCCAAATAAATATTTATAAGAATACTCCTAACACCAATACTGATAACAATCAAAATCACTAATAAGACAACCTTTCTACCAAAGGAATAAACAGATAAGGAATTGGCACCAGGATGGCTATTTAACCACCTTGCGATTTTACATTCCGCCATTATCACATGCCCCCAGGTGGCACAAATCTTGATTTTGTAAAATACACACAAGTGGAATGAATTCTTAGCTCATGAAGAACAGATTTCACTGTCTTTTGAGATTTTCTGATTTCTATCTCTTCCAAACTTACCATGGCACCAACCCCCTCCCCCCAAAACCCCACTATAATGTTTCTTCCTATTTAATTTCCTATCCCTTGGGTTGTGAAGAGGAACCATCTCTTCTGTAAGGATTTTACAATATACTATAACTTGCCTTTTTAAAAGTGGGGACTGTGTGGGGAGGGGCATTTCTCAGTGGAAAAAAATTCTGTTTGGGCTACCACCAGGATATTCAGGGGTGGTTAAACCCTTCACAGTGGTTGGTGTGTGTATGTGCATGCGTGTGTGCATGTGTGTCGCTATTTATATACTGGGGTCAGAGGTATCAAGGGAAGCCTATCTGAGAAGGAGGTGTTTGGACTGAGACCTGAAGGAAGTGAGGAGCAAGCATGAGACAGCTGAGGAAGAGTGTCCTGAAGTAACAGCAAATGCAAAGGTCCTGAGGCAGGAATGTGATTAGTCTGCGGGAGGAATACTGAAGAGGTAAGTGTGGCTGGAATGGCATTGGCAAGGAGGACGCAGGCAGAGGTGGGGAAGACACTAGAGGACTTTGGGGTGAAGAACAGCATTTGGGGTGACTGATGTCTGCAAAGTAACATGAGAGAATATAGCGCTAGGCTGGGGGACATGGAGAAACATAAAGTGGGGGTGTGAGGATGTGCTGCTATGAGACACACACCTAATGGAGTTGATTCCTAATGTCAAGCTTGCTTACTAAGAGCTTAGGCTGGGAAAAACCTAAGAGAGTAGAAAATCCCCATTTCATATGATTTTGTGCAGGTATACAAGGATGTGGAGAATGTGTGTGAGATGTACTTTGCAGGGAAAATACTCAGGCTCCCCTACTACAGTTTAGCCCATCAGGGTATTGTTCTCAACCTCATCAAACAATTCAGTGAAGCCAATTTAATGTTGTAGACAACTTGACAGGCACTGTAGGGTGTTCACATACCTAATCACTCGTGATCCACTAAGCAGCTTTTGAGGTAGGCATTATTTCTCTCCTTTGGAAAATAAGGACACTTCGGCAGAGAGGTTCCTGCCCAGATTGGTGACCCCCTGAGGGAGGAAGTGAGCCAAAATTCTTTGGTGCTGAATTTAGATTCTTCCCACAACCCAGTTCTGTGCCTAAGCTACGAATTGATGAGGGCAGTATTCCCTAAATGAAGAAGACTCATACACGGGGGGTACAGTTGAGTCAAAGAAATCATTACTTTGTTGAGAATAACCCAGGAGCCCCACTTTGCCTCTTCATTAGGTGATTTGTTCTCTTACTATGTGTGGTGATTTAGTATCTCAGACTAGATATTCTTCCGTGCAATTCTCTATATTACCTCTGGGCTAACAGCTTGTGAAAAGACACACTATTTGCAGAAGTGACAGAGTACTGTTGTTTCTTTAAAACCTAAGCATGCCTAGTCTTACAGAACTTGTTTTCCTGTAAGCCATGGTGTGTGTCCATTCATAAACCAGACAGGAAGAAGAAGAAACTGAACGTTACTTACTAAATAGACGTCAAGCACAGAGGCATTATCATCCTGCATTTCCAGAGCATTTGGCTCAGAAGTCAGGTGGATGGTCCCCTCTTCCAAGGTAAATGTTGAACTGGAAGGTAACCCTTTACTGGAGAAATAAAGAAGAATAATGAGCATGTGGCCTCTAGAGGAAAATCCAAGGATATGTCCAATGTTGCAGCTGAAGAGGCTGAGCTGGGAAAGCTTTTCGGGATGAAAACAGTTAAGAGGTTGAAGGAACTGTGGTCACACCTGGAGATGTACTCACTTGACTTGGAATAATTTGGTGTTACTAGTAGGGGGATTTTCTGTGTACTCCAGTGCATGAGACACTCCTTCACACATTTCTGAGAGGTGACTTGTGGGGCCCAGGCCTTGTGAGGGTGGACATCTGTGGAGCCAGACACCACTGGTCAGCTTTGCCACTGAATAGTCCATTTCCACTGCTTAAGTTCTCCTCTTACTGTACTCAGGCGCTGCTGATCTGTAAAACCTGTGCAGCATTAGCACTGATGAACTTTTCTAACTTTTTTTTACTTTCTGGAGTTCAATTCCAACCATGCTTCTCAAATGTAAAGTTAGAATCCCCTGGAGGGCTGGTGAAAACCCAGTTTCCTGGGCCCCACAACCCAAGTTTCTGATTCAGTTCCTCTGACCTGGAGCCTGTGAGTCTGTGTCCCCAACAAGCTCCCAGGTGATGCCCAGGCTGCTAGTCCAAGGCCTACCCTGTTGAGTACCAACAAATCACATAAATACACAGCACTGAATCCTGTGTGCTGTGAGGACAGCCTGGGGGTGTCCTTAGAGCAGAACAAGGACAGGAGCCACAGGGATACTGGAGAATCTTTATGACGGGAAAGAACCCTGTTTTGTCATGATATATAATCAGTGTTAGCTGCTGCAGTAACTGGTCCATTTTAAAACATTTTAAGAATTGAACTATGGCTGACATATAATACTGTGTTAGCCTTAGGTGTACAACATAGTGATTTGGCAATTATATACATTATGAAATACCACTGTAAGTGTAGTTACCATCTGTCACCATACAAAGTTGTTATATTATTGACTATATTCCCTATGCTGTACTTTCCATCCCTGTAACTTATTTTATGCCTGGAAGTTTGTACCTTTTGATCCCCTTCACCTATTTCTACCCATCTCCTTGCTCCCCTCCCCTCTGTCAACCACCAGTTTGTGCTCTGTATTTACAAGTCAGTTTCTGGGGGTTTTTGTTTAGTTTTTTAGTTTATACATGTAAGTGAAACCATAGGGTATTGTTTTCTGACTTACTTCACTTAGCATAATACCCTCTAGGTCCATGCATATTGTCCCAAATGACAAGATTTCATTTTTTATGGCTGTGTAATATTCTGTGTGTGTGTGCGTGCACATATATGCATATGCACATCTTCTTTATCCATTCATCTATCATTGGACACTTAGTTGCTTTAATGTCTTGGCTATTGTAAATGTTGTCACAATACACACAGGGGTGTATATATAGTGCACTGCACTAATTTTCAAATCAGTGCTTTTGTTTTCTTTGGGCAAATACCCAGAAGTGGAATTGCTGGATTATATGGGATTTCTAGTTTTAGTTTTTGAGAAACTTCCATACTGCTGTCCACAGTGGCTGCACCATTTTACATTTTTACCAGCAACGTATTAGTTTTCTCTGCATTCTCTTTTCTCTGCATTCTCACCAGTGCTTGTCATATCTTGTTGATAGTAGCCATTCTGACTGGTGTGAGGTGATATCTCAGTGTGGTTTTGGTTCACATATCTCTGATGATTAGTGATGTTGAGTATCTTTTCATGTGTCTGTTGGCCATCTTTGGAAAAATGTGTGTTTTAGTTTCATGTAGCACCCACTGTATGTTATTGCTTTTGTTTTCTTTGCCTGGTGATACCTATCCAGAAAAACACTGCTAAGGCCAATGTCCTGACTGGTACATTTTGATAGCATTTCCATTGGGAATTAATTTAGGGGCTCAGGAGTGCACAATTTTTCCCTGTACTGAAATGCATGTTTTAAACCTGTGGAAATTTTCCATGTGATGGTTTTGCAGGAACACAAAATCTGCAAACAATGGTAGCAGAGTGTTGTTGGTGTTAGAAGGGCTGGCCATCAGCCATGTGGAACAAAGCTGGCAGCAGGCTGTGGCACTCCCTGGGCAGCAGGCCTGGGAGCAGGAGTGCAGAAGACTGGCTTCCTCTCTCACCTTCCTCATTACCAGGGCCTGCTGCCCCTTCAAGGTTTAGCTTAGAGCTTTCTGCTTCTGGAAACTCTAGTCTAAAGTCAACCTCTGAGCTTCTTGTTTGAGCCTCCCAGCTGGATGGGACATAGAGCCCTTTGTGCTTCCCTAGTCTGGGGACTACACATAATTCTATTTCTGTACATACTTACCTATTAACTAAGATAGGTGAACATAGTTAGGAATCCTGACCTTTTCAATATTAAAAAAACTTGTCAAAAGAATTATAAGGATCTTAATAAATCAGGTTCATTTGTGTTTTTCCTGATCACAAAAGATACAATGAAAAACTAAAAATACAGAGTACTAGTAAGAGGAAGGGGTGGGGAGGTTAGAATCTACTACAGGTTTTCCACTTAGTGATACTTGAGAATGTGGAAATAAGGGACCAAAATCACTTCACTTTGGATTGCTAGATTTTTCTCTTTCTTCAATTCTGGACAGAGTAAAAAAAAAAGACCCTCTTGCTTCTCAAAAAACCTAAGATGGTTTATACAATTTGGGAAACAGTCTGTTGTGATTGATTTTAAAGGGCAGGGTGAATGTGGCCTTTTTCCGTTGAACTGTTGACTTAATTTTATAAACCTTCACAGATTTCTTGGGTTAAGTAAACCACCAGCTTTCAAGGGATGCTGCTTTGAGAGGAACTGTGTGGCCAGGAACATTATTCAGATTAGTTTTGGGATCAAAAGCAAGGATGCAGTGATGGGCTTTAATTGGCTTTTGCCTTTCAACTGCTAAGATATAACTTAATCCTCATGTGGGCATAAAACAATTGTGGCTGGGTAAGCCTTATAGAAACAGAAATTTATTAAACATCAAAGCAAGAAACAGGTTGTCAGAAAATATCTGTATGTGGCATGATTTTTCTTCCTATTTTTTTTTTTTAGTTCACATTTTATATAATTAAAATCTCTCACAGTTTCTGGGTTATTTTGTCAATGTTTATAACTTACTTGATGAGGTCCAAAACTAAGTTACCCCCTTCTTGTCTGAGCTTTAAGTAGTAATATTTATTTATTTTCTTTAATAAGATTAAGGGCATAAGAAAATTTTAAAAAGAAAAGCACTTCCAGAATATTCTCTTTTGTTAACGGTATTACATGTGGTACAAAATACAGCAAAAAGGAATCCCTTTCTTTCTCCTGTTCTCCTGTGTTCCAGAGTTCATTTCCCTAGACATAAACTCATTTTGCAAGTCTTTTCCAATCTAATATTTATCTTTTGTTTTTGGAAACTATGAGTAAGCCACTAGTTTAGTTAAGACAAATTAAGATAGAAAAGACAAAATAGAAAAAAAATTCTTTAGGATTTAATAGATACATTTATCAATTGTTTTAGGTAAAATACAACATGATCTCAGTAAAAAGATATGCCACATTTCCTCAGTATCACATGGTCAAATTTGATAAAACCAAACAGGCATCTTTAAAAAATAAATCTTTATTATTTATACTGTTTTTCATATGCATAAGAATAGTTTCCTTAGACCATTCTGAGCCTCGTTTACATGGGGGACAAAAATGAGGCTCACTGTGTCCTGTATCTGGATTACATAAAGAACTATTGACACAATAAAAAGGCGAATAACCAAATCACAAAAATAGGCAAAGGATGTGGGCAGATATTTCTCCAAAGGAGGTATATAAATGGGAAATAAGCATATGAAATGATGCGCAATATCATTAGCCTTTAGGGAAATGCAAATCAGGATTACAAAGATACCACTTCACATCCACTAGGATGGTTTGAATAAAAAAGACAGTCAATAGCAAGTGCTGGAGAGGATGGGGAGAAACTGAAGCCCTCCTGCCTATGGATGGGAATGTAGCATGGTGGCTGCTTTGGAGAACAGTTTGGTATGTCCTCAAAGCAGTATGAACCAGCATTTCCACTCCAAGGTACAGATCCAAATGAAAACATGCCCACACAAAAACTTGTGTATAAGTGTTCACAGTAGCATTTATTTAGAATAGCAAAAAGTGGAAATAACCCAAATGTCCCCCAGTCCATGAATGGGTAAGTAATTCATATAGCAGATTATTATTCAACAGTAAAAAATAATGAGCTGATATATGCAACAATGTGGTGAGTCTTGAAAACATGACTGGCTTCTTCCATTTACCATAAAGGACCACATACTGTATGACTGCATTTAGGTGAAATGTACAGAATAGGCTAATCGATAGGGACAGAAAGATTAGTAGTTGCCAGGGTCAGGGGTATGGATTTCCTTTTGGGGGTTTTGAAAATGTTCTAACACTAGATTCTGGCAATAGTCATACAACTTTGTGACTATACTAAAACCACAAAACTGTTCTTTAAATGGGTGGATTTATAAGTATGTGAAATATATCCTAGTAAAGTTATTTAAAAGAAAGAAAGCATTTCATGAGGCATCTAAGGGCCATGATCTGAACTTGATCTCTCAGTACATAGTATTAGAAAGATATATTTTTTTATGATGCAAGACATAAATAGATGTAAAAATTCTTCAAAATTATAGCAAGTTGAGTCAAACAATATATAAAAAGAATAATACATGAAGTGTTGGGTTTCTCCCAGGATTTCAAAGTTCATTTAACATTCAAAAATTAATCAATGTAATTTACCATATTAACAGCCTGAAATAAAAAAAAACTATATTAACATCTCAGTAGGTGCAGAAAATACATTTGACAAAAATCCAACATCAAATGGATCTGGAAGCATTCAAGAACATTCGTGGCTACATTATCTGTAATAGTACCAAACTGGTAACAGCCTAAGTGCCCATCAGCAGAAAACATTTTGGCATATTTATACAATTATATATATATAGCAATGGGAATGAATGAATCATCAGTAATGT